AACTATTCAAGAAGTAATAAACCCCAAAACCCCAAAACCCCAGATTAATTAATCTAGAAGAAATTTGAAATTTCTAATATTTACTTGAATTCAAATTAAATTTAAGATGGCTTAACCCAAGAGAGTATGTTCCTCATTTATTCTAATTATTGTTAGAAAGCAAAGGTAGCAAATATTGACTATTCAAAGGTCAGTATTTAATTTATTGAGCAGTATGTTGAGAACTTCTATGAAGACGCAGTAGAAAAGAAAATTGAGGGAGCAAAGTGCCTATTGTATCTGTGTTTCTCTCATGAAAACATGGAGTTCATGTTAGAAAATGAAACCCTCTTCGCTACTATGGCACGTACTATTAGAGATGACTTTAGGAAGTCGCTTGAACTTACTCTTTATATGCTTAATATATTCTAAGCATACTCAAATTTTACATAGTTCCATGAATGGCTACTTACTGTAAGTTATCATTAATTCTAAATTTTAGAATCAAATTGGAGATACAACCATTAAAATTATCGAACATGAAATCAAAAGATATATTGTTAAAGTCAAAGAGTTTAAATAAAAGACTGAGGATTGTAAGTATTTTTGTTACCACTTAAACTCTAATAGTGTAAGCTGCAACTGGGACTCCATAATATGAAGAAATGGCCCAAATACTTAGAAAGGAAGAGAGATAATTATCATTAATGATTAAGAGGCAAGAGAAGGTTCTGTTTGTTGCTTTCCATTTGCTTTTAAATTTAGCAGAGGATTTGCAAATTGAAAGAAAAATGAAAAATCGAAGCATAATCGGCTTACTTGTAACAATGATGGATAGAAACAATCCTGATCTCCTCTTTATTGTTCTTAATTTTCTCAAGAAGCTCTCTATCTTCGGTGATAATAAGACAGAAATGAAGGAATAAGGCATAATTGAGAAAATCAATAGGTTCATCCCATGTAACAACTAGCTTCTATTGCAAATCGCTTTGAGATTATTATTCAACTTATCTTTTGATGAGGAAATCAGAATGCAGATGGCTGAGTAAGGTCTCATTCCAAAACTTGTCGAGATTCTCAAGGCTCCTGGGTTTAGAGCACTTATACTCAAATTATTATATCATCTTTCATTAGAGGATAAGACTAAGGCTACATTCACATATACTGAGTGCATACCCTTAGTCTATTAGCTAATAATTCACTGTCCCGAGCCTATAGTAGGAAAGGAACTAGTTGGTCTAGCAGTTAATTTGGCTACTAATACTAGAAATGCTGAGAGATTCGCCTAGGATGAACAGCTTGAGGAATTGATTAACAGAGCTATAAAGTTTAATGATACCTTGCTTTTCAAAGTTTGCAGAAATATAGCTTAATTTGCTCCTTCAACTCTTGAGACATTTGAAAGATACTTAGAGTAGTACATAATGATGGCTCAGTAATGTGGAGAAAATACTGATTTGTAGCTTGAACTTCTTGGTACTATGGTATATATTCACTCAGATAGATGGGAGGAGGCTGTCCATAAGACTAATTTCATTGAGTTTGTGTATAATAGTTTACTAAGTGGATTTGCTGAGGATGATATCATATTAGAGACAGTAATGCTCGTTGCTACAATTTGCAGAAATGACGACATTGCTACTATTCTCGCTAACTCATTCTTAATTAAAATGCTTCAAGACCTGCTTGGAGCTAAACAAGAAGATGATGAGATGGTCCAGTAAATTCTTAACACATTCTTCAAATTCCTATTCTTCAAACCTACAAGAGAAATAGTTCTTCATCAAACTCAAATGGTCTCAATCGTTCTTGAACTTTTGAGTGATAAGAATCCAAACATCAGAAAGCTAGTTAATGCTATTCTAGATCATGTTCAACTTCATGATGAGATGTGGAAGCAAGAAATCAAGACTAGAAGATTCCAAGTTCATAACCAGGTCTATCTCAAATTGATGGAAGAATACGATAAGCAATATCCATCACAAGATGGAATGTAAGCACCCAAAATTATAAATCAATTTAATCTATAGGTATGAGTACTACTATGATGACAGAATTCAAGGTCAAGGAGAAGGTATTCCGGATGATGAAGATTTTGATAGTGATGATGCTTTATTCTTTGACAATAATGACCTAGCTAACAGAATTTGGGAAGACAATGATTGATAGTGACATTGCTGTGAATTATAAGGTGTTTTGAAGATCTATTAATTTGATCTTTAAAGTCAGTAAATTTTACTTAATTCAATCTTATGCTAGCCACTCGGGGTTTTGGGGTTTTGGGGTTTTGGGG